CCGTGCCCTCGGGAGCGGAGTTCGAATTCCCCTTGGGTTCCGGAGCGGGAATGGGCTGACTGGCTGATGGTGATGGCAGTGAAGGGGGAGTTGGGGTGTCCCTCGGGTCTCCCAGCGTTGAAGTGTGTTAATAACATCCTGCAGGGCGGTCCGATCCGAAGGATTTGGTCTTCTGCCCCCGGGAAACCCGACCCTTTCCCAAGTCTCCGTGCTGCTGCGGCTCCTCTGATTCCATTTTGAATGGGTGTGATTCTGTCACGGGTGCTGTAGGTGGGTGTGGTGTGGGAATCAGGCGCAGGACGCAGAAGATAAGTCCAAAAGACTTAGAAAATGCACACTCAAAACGACCCAAACACCCCGGGAGGCGAGAAATGCGCACACAGGCGTAAACAAAGGGCGCACTAAACATGTCGAAAAATACTCTCCAAACAAAAAAGGAGGCAAGCTACAATTAGCGCACTGTAAATAGTAGCGCACCAACACACAGCGAAAACATCACAACAACACCTGACAAACACAACGAGAACTTAGGACACTAATGACGCTAACGACAACAGTTGTACAAATCCAGACAAAACCAAAACGAACAAAAGAAACATACAACGGTGGGCAGCTAGTATTCCGGAGACAACGAACGCCAAAGCCTGCCCGAGCAAGGAAGAGAGGCAGCCTCGGCCGAAACCGTGACACCCCCATTGATTTTGTTAGTCACTCTCCCTCAATTCATTAACATGGCAAAGCCAGGGAAAAAACATGCTTTAAACTGAAAACCCTTTATCTCCACGCCATGGCAAAAGGGGTAGAATTGCAGGAAAATGTGTTTTAAAACTGCAAATGTATTTTCCGCCCAGGGGCCAAAATGTGTAGAACTGCAGAAAACTTCTTTTAAAACTTTCAACATTTTCTCTATGTCCCCTGGCAAAACATATTATTTAAAAAATATTTTTTTGTCTCCACCGTCAAGAGGAGGGCCACTAAAAATGTTTTTGCGATGCAAAAAATTTTAGCAAAATGTTAGCGCATAGAATAAAAAGGGATTGTCGGATATTTTCATTCTATCAACAGGTTTTTTTACATGGAAGTACATTGGAGATAATATAAGGAGTTTTTGGAAACAAGAACTTATGGAAAATCTGGGAACCAGGCCTGCTATTCTAGCAGACTTCGAAAAGGCATTTGATAAAGTACGACTGGGGTTTATATATAAATGCCTGGAGCATTTCAATTTTGGAGAATCTCTTATAAAATGGGTCAAAATCATGTATAGTAACCCTAGGTGTAAAATAGTAAATAATGGCTATTTCTCCGAAAGTTTTAAACTGTCAAGAGGAGTGAAACAAGGTTGTCCACTATCGGCATATCTATTTATTGTGGCCATCGAGATGTTAGCTATTAAAATCAGATCCAACAATAATATCAGGAATATACTCGGAATACATATCCCAAAGGAAATAAATGATCTCACTTCAATAAATTATAATAGAAAGTTTGCAAAAATAGATAAGATCTTGCTACCATGGAAAGGTAAATACCTGTCAATTTGTGGAAAAATCACCCTAATTAACTCTTTAGTATTATCCCAGTTTACCTATTTCCTTATGGTCTTGCCTACGCCTAGCGAACAGTTTCTTAAATTATATGAGAAAGAAATATTCCATTTTATTTGGAAAGGCAAGCCAGACAAAATTAAACCAGCCTATTTATATAATGAATATGAATTCGGAGGACAGAAATAATTAAATATTAAAGCATTAGACCTATCACTAAATGCTTCAGTCATACAAAAGTTATACTTAAATCCGAACTGGTTCTCTAGCAAATTTGTAAGATTGTCTCACCCAATGTTCAAGAATGGCCTTTTTCCCTTTATTCAGATTACAACCACTCACTTTCAGTTTTTTGAAAAGGAAATAATCCCCCAAAATTCACTTTTTCTTAAAAAACCCCATAAAGGGTTTTTTTGGCAATTTCAATTTAATCCTCCGGGGAAAACGACAGAACAATAATGCAAAAAAATATTGTGGGAAACCAAATATCAAATTTGAAAAAAAAAAACGTTTTTTTTTGAAAAAATTTTTTAAAAAAGGTAAAATCTTCGTAAAAATATAAATGGGTGGGAAAACTGGGGGGTTTAGCCCGCACATGCCAAATAAAAACATATGGAAAGGGCCCTGGTCCCCCCAAAAAATTACAACCAAAAAAATTGCAGCCTTACCGCAAAAATGGAAGAAAAAGGGGAAAGGGGGGAAAAAGGGTTAAGGGAAACTTTCTGTGGGCCTTGAAAAAAAAGAACAAAATTTGGTTAAGGAAAACTGGGGTAATAAAAAAGTTTATCTTTTCATTTAAGGCCCAAGGATTAAACAGCCGTCCCAATGGGTTTGGGCAAAATATTGGGAAGAAAATTTTTGACAAACCGTACCAGGGCATATTTGTTTTTTGAACTAAACGCAAAACACACCGGATTAAAAAACTTAAAACTTTAAATTTTAAAATTTTATAAAAAATTTCTTGTCCCCAATAAAGGGTTTATTTTATGGGGGTAAAATCTTCCCCCTCTGCAGTTTTTGCTGGCGAAAAACCGAATCATTAGATCATTTGTTTTGGTACTGTCCTTTTGGGTATTTTGTTTATCCCCCGGGCCCCGGAAAGGGCCAAAAGGATTGCAATTTTTCCCAAACAACCTTGCAGATATCTTACTGGGGGGAAACTGAAAAATCATATTTAAACATCAATAAAAAAATAATACTTTTAAGCAAAAATATTTATTTTTTTAATTCACAATTTGGGAGAAACAATGGGAAAAGAAAGGGTTTAGATTTTTGTAAAAAAAACAGAAAAGGTTTAAATATATTGGCAAATAAAATCCTATAAGGACGGTGTTAAGAGATAGATGGGGGGTGTTGAATGGAGCTGAAGGTGGGAAATAAAACAACTAAAAAACAAAATAATCCCCAAATAACTAATAATGTGCATTTCTGTGTCCAAATAAAATAATAGGGGTTTTTATGTTTGGGGGGTTTTTGGGGAAAAAAGTTTGCCCGCTTGGTTTGGGCCCCCCAACCAAATCTCGCTTAGGGCCCCCAAAAGGGTTAACCGGGCCAAAGGGGTTAAAAGTGTGGGGGCATGTTGTGGGGTTTTTGTGGGGTTAAACTGTAAAATTGTTATCTTAGAAAAAGAAAAAGAGTTTATCATGGGGTTCTGCCCGGGTTTACACCCAGTAAAAACGATTTGGTCTCCTTTTCTCCCCTCTCCTTTTCCCCTCTCTTTTCCCCTTTTCCCCTCCCCTCTCTCCCCCCTCTCTCTCTCTCTCTCTCTCTCTCTCTCTCTCTCTCTCTCTGCGCCTCTTCCCAGCCATGCACACACACACACATACACACACAGAGACAGTTCTGTCCATATTTGAGTTTAGTCTCAGTGTCTGTAATCAGATTTAGGTGAGTCCCATATCACAGGGTCTATCTGTGTACGAAGGCTTCATTCAGACCTAACAGGTCCTATCTATCTGTCATACTGGAGGACCATTGTCTCTCTAGCAGCTACATTAAACACAGCTGAACTTCCTCTTTCTCTTCCATAAAAGAAGATGAGGAGGAAGACTTGGGCTGAAACCAGGAAGAGTTTGTCCTCTTTTCACCCCTCCGTTGGTTTCTCTGACTCAACCTCTCCATTTCTTCATTCCTCTACTATACTCCTGTCTGTTTTCCCAAAACTTGCTCTGAGATTCAGCACTTCGGTGTGTGTGTGCACGTCTGTGCGTGTGCATGTGTGCGTGTGTGCACACGTATCTCAGAAGATGGTGTGTTCCATTAAATGTGTGTTGCATGGAAAAGGGCATCAGAGAAAAGCTGTGTGTGTGTGTATTCTTGACCAACATTTTACAAGATCTCTGAGGTTTCTAGGTGGTCTGGTGGGTACTGGAGGGGATTGGTGTTGGTGTGCCTGTAGGCAGTTTTATGTGTTTGTGTGTGTGTGTGTGTATGTGTGTGTGTGTGTGTGTGTGTGTGTGTGTGTCCCAGCTAGCGCATAATGTTCTGGGAACAATATGTTTCTTAGAGCTTGGTGAGAGCATGGTTGTCCTATGATTCTTTTGCATACAACCTTCCCATAAGGAACATTCTCAGCACATTTAAGGATTGTTTTTCTTGCTATTTCATTAATTTAACAGACTTTAAACATTCAAACATATTGGTAATGTTCTAGGAATGTTCTCCAACTGGTTTGATGGTGTTGCATCCGTCTTACAGGCTCCTGACCAATTCTGCTATTTAGTGTGTTTTTTTACTGAACTTTTCTTGTACATAATGTTTCCGCCATCATTTCCTGTGACCGAAACAGCGATCACTACTCGTTATTGTTATTCATTACGAAGCACATTTGTATTTATTTTGAATTTAATTAAAATTGACATTGGGAATGTTCTCAAATAGTTCAGAGCACGTTAAGAAACAATGTTTTTCTGTGGGGATTTCAGTATTTCAGCATAACATTTTCAGTAGGTTTCCTCATAGTTCCATTTAAAATCATGTTCTCAGAACATTAAGAAAACTTTCCATAAAAAACACAAGAAAACATTAATATCATTAAAATAATGTTCTAAGAATGTTATTTAAAAATGTATACATTCCATTCTCCTGGTGGCGCAGTGGACTAACTCCATGGATCGAGGACAGAAGATCAATAAATGTGTTTGCATGAATAATGCCTAAGCAAATTAATTTCCATGTGTCCTATCTGTGCCTGGAGTTCAAAACAGTTAACCTAAGCTAGCATTGTTTTTAAAAGTCTTATTGAAAAATTAAATGTAGGTTTTAAGGAAGTTATTCAAAAACCTCCAAATAACCTTTACATTTCGTTGAAAACATTCACAACATTTAGAAAATGTTCTCAGAACGTTACTAAATTAACTTCAAATAACCTATCATTTCTGTTCTCAGAACGTTAACTTTCAGGGTTCAAATGTTCTCAGAACCTCCCTGCAACCTGAAAATGTACATTCCCAGAACAGGCAACATTTTCGCTTCCATTCTCAGAACGTTTAAAAAAACGTTCCGTTTTACTGGTCAGGAAACAAATGGCTTTGTTCCCAGAACCAATGGGAAACCAAAGAGTTACGTTCCAAAACTTCCAAGAAACCAAATGTGCTAGCTGATGTGTGTGTGTGTGTGTGTGTGTGTGTGTGTAGTCAGGCTGTCACGAGCACTCTGTGTCTATGAAGGTGTGGGCCTCTTACCCATCATGCCCTGCGGTACTGTCGCCTGTGGGACATTTTTGCGTCAGTCCTCCCACAATTCTACTAGCTTTCCCAGAGTACAGTTGACCCAGGTGTCAATAACCGCCCCAACCTGAACACAAATCATCCATCTCACATCTGCTCTATCATACATAGGCACGCATGCCGGCACGGACACACACATGAACACACACACACACATGCACACACACCGCTCTCTCACCACCCTGAACACAAATCATCCATCACACTGCTTTGAGACAGGTATGGCCTCAGGGCACCTAAACGAGCCTGCTTTCACACAAACCTCGTTAGAGCTTGTGCTACGTCTCGGTTCATATATCCCTTGATTACCAATGGTAAGCTATGCTAGCAGGTATTGGAAGTCCATTTGTCTTTAGGAAGTCTCATTCATCATATCAGATTAGCATAACCAGTGCACTCCATCACCAGGAAAGGTTGACAGCTTAGTGTTCAACATACTGTAGCATGGGGTTGTGCATCAATTCAAACCAAGCCCGATACTGTAGTGTCAATTAACATGTACTGTATAGCCTCAGCTTTATCCATGGCATATGACAATGTTGTTAAAATCAGGATACAAATTTCAGATTTAGTCTGGCCCCAGATATACATTTATGGAGTGTATTATTTCTATGCAATGCGTCCCTGCTGTCTTTATGGTAAAATATATGGTTTGCAGGCACTCTGGTTGGAGTGTACAGTAGGTGTGTATTGTATCGTATGCATGTGAGTTGTTTTCACTTGCTTGCTTTAGTGCAGCATGGTGTGTGTGTGCTCGCCTTGTGTGTGTGTGTGTACCGAGTGTGTGTTTTACGAGCTGCGTGTACAGTGTGAGTGTTTGATGGTATGTGTGAAGAGTTTGCAGAATGTGTGTGCGTGTGTGTCTCTGACTGTGTGTGTGTTTTTACGGGGGTCCAGTGCAGGCCGTGTGTTTTTGAAGGGGGCGAAACAGCTGCCTTTTACTGCCCCAGGGGCTAATAAACAGGCAGAGAAGGGCAGTTATCTACCCCTTTTACTGGCCAGGACGGGACTTTACTGGGGTCACACTGTAACTATACACAGCTGCAGGGGGAGAGAGAATGAGAGAGAGAGAGAGAGAGAGAGCAGAGAGGAGAGAGATAGATCGAGAGAGAGAGAGATATCGAGCTATATAGCGATCCGAGATCTAGAGGATATCTAGAAGAGGGAGGGGAGACAGATTCGAGTTGTACGTTGAGATTGTTCCAGGAGACTAAGGGAGGGTTTTTCATATGGTATCACAGTGAAAATATGGGGAAATGCCAAATTAAATCTAGTCTGTAGACCTGAACGAGGCATTAAGTAGAAGCATATATCAACCCCAGTTGGAAGCAGAGACCAAGCCAACACTGGATCATATCCCATAGTCCCTCTAGCACTCCACAGTCCACAGGTCTGGGTTTCCCCTAACAGATCAAACCTGGGGAGTTGTATCTTAGGGGTCAAACATGAGAGAAAGACCAGTTTGAACATTTCCTCGTGTACCCCTCTCTTTTCCATTTTCTCTAACTCTGTCACTCTGCTTTGTGTGTGTGAGTCTCCAGTTTTCTACCATTTCCAGGTTTTCCTTAAAGATTCTGCTCCTCGTTAAGCACATCTGCTGTCAATCAACTGTACCCTATAATCCCATTGGCATTTCCTGCCTGTTGGGACACGCCCCCTGACCCTTTCTTTCTGGTCATTGATTGGCCGGATTGGTTAGGCCCCACCCTGGCCAGCTCTGGTTTCCAACTGGCCAACTCACCTGTCCATCAAATAGACTCAAATTCAACTTCATTCCACTTATCATCATCATCTTCAACTGTTGCCTTAATGACAGAAGTGTTTGTGTGATTTCAGAGATGAAGGACTAACACTGAAGTGAGTGTGTGTGTGTGCCTGTGTGTGTGTGTGTGTGGACATGTGTGCGTGTGTGTGTGTGTGTGTGTGTGTGTGTGTGTGTGTGTGTGTGTGTTGGAACTGCTAACAGAAGTAGGGAAACTTCCAGAAATATGTTGAGCCTAAATATTCCATGTCCAGCACCAGAGTTTGACTCCTGTTAACATGTGGAAATCCAATCAGGACAACACAGAAATCGGACTGATACATCCTCTGGGATCAATATGTAAAGCTAGACTATAGTCATCTCTAGGAGAGCCAGGAAAACTCTGCTCAGATCTGTGAAACAGCTCTCACAGTGAAAGAGAGTGAATGGAGAAGGGGGGAGAGAGTAGAAGGATAATGAGAAGAGGGGGGAGAGATGAAGAATAGAATGTATGAAGAGAGAGAGAGAGGAGAGCGAGCACCTCTGAGACTACGAGCGCGCTCGCATCTCGTGCCTTGATCCGCTCGTGCGCTCTAGAGATTGAGCCGCGAGCGCGCTCGCGCTCGCGCTTCCTCGCCTCTTGCTCGCGCTGCTCCTGTTCGCCTCTCTCTCGCTCTCTCCGCGCGTGCGCGCGCTCTCCGCTCCTCGCTGCTGCCTGTCTTCCGCGCTCTATCGGCTCTCTCTCTCTCCCTCTCATCTCGCGCTCTCCTCGCGCGCTCTCCGAGAGGAGGAGAGAGAGAGAGAGAGAGGATGAATGGAGAAAATGACAGAGAAGAGGAACGAGGGCATGCGGTAGAGATGATTGACAGAGCGAGAAAGAAGGGAGGGATGGGGAGAAGGGAAAATGAGAGAGAGAGAGAGAGAGAGAGAGAGAGAGAGTCTCGAGGGGGCGGAGAGACAGACAAGTTATTCTTGTTGCAGACAGCTGAGACCAAGTCTAAAATAAGATGTGTACTAATTAGGGCCGTGACGGTCATGGAATTTTGGATGATGGTAATTGGCCAGACAAATGAACGCCGTCTCCATAATAACTGTTCGAATAGCCAAAAATAACAATAATACAAATATTTGTTTTTATTTGTAATTTTTTCACGCACATTTTGTCCTCTCCTTCGCTCCTGACTGCATGTGCTGCCATGGATCTAGAATGATTCATTATATTTCTATGTGTGCTGTTGCTGCATTGTGGGGGGCGTTGGCAACCGAAGACTTGTTTGCAACAATATCTTGCTTGTTTCAGCAAGGAGCAACAACGTTTCATCACATTGTGAAGAGTCCATGTTACCGCAGAAACGGACTCAACCACACGAATGACCGGCCGTTCTATTTTCTTTTTTTACGATTATGACGGTTATTTAATTTTATGACGGTCTTCATCCATAACCATCGGTTACACAGTAATTGTGCCAGCTCAGTGTGTGAGCATGCGTGTGTGTGTGTGTGTGTGTGTGTGTGTGATACCAAAACCCCAAACCATATGGAGTCAACATCCTGTTTTATTGTCTTCCCATAGAAAGTATAATTTCCTATGATCACATTTTATATAAAAGAGACAAAATAAAAACCATAGCAACACGGTATCAGATCTAGTGTAATAAATATACAACTTTATCGACAGATAGAAAAGAGGGAAGAGAGAAAGAGAGAGAGAACGGACACAAAGTAACTGACCTTATAACTGGAAGAGCTCATAGATAGGTTTACACAACTACAAATATAGTCAGACACTGATACACACACTTAGACCTACTCCACTGACTAGCACGTACACAAGCACACACACACACACACACACACACACGGATCAACAACCTTGCACGTACAAAGACTCAGAAAAATACCCACACTTTTAGGTTGACAACCTCACTGAGTAACTGGACAGAACTTTGGCAAGACTGACTAAACTTGAATAGATATAGGTAAACTAGACTGGGTTCAATCCCATGGTTTTGTGACAGATATACTGGAGTTAAACTAGATTCTACAAGCTGCTTTCACCCTGCCCATTCTCTCATTGACTGAGTGGTGAGCGAGCTGGAAGGATGAAGAGTTGTCTTCCATTTCACTCTCGTACGTAGACTCTGGTGCACACCACATCGTCCGCGCTCATAGTCTGGAATGAGAGGAATTTATAGATTTGTTTAATATAGGTATTCATATCCAAGGAATTTATAAAGATTTGCAGTATTTAATACAAGCATTCAAATCCAATATAAACACTGTCTGAATCCATCCTGTTCAGTCCCTGTCTATGATTGTGTCTCTTCCAATATGAGGTGTCTTGAACGACTTCTTATGGTTCTGTATTACAAAGTTTTGGCCTTATTTACCATGGAAACCATACGATTTTTTATCTAAGTTTACTAATTGAATTAGAAGCCAAAAACTCAGCATGAGTGATGCGTGATTTGAAGGAGTCAGGCGCAGGAGGGTAAATCACAGTATACAGAGTTTATTCCGTAATCCAGCATAACCAGTCCAGTGCGCAATACAGGCGCACTGGAACAAACAGGCACACATGGAAAATACCCCGGCAATACAAAAATACACTGAGCTCAACCGAGCTACTAATCCTCACAATAAACAATCACCCACAAGGACAAGGGGGCAGAGGGAACACTTAAACATGTACTAATGAGGGGATATGAAACAGGTGTGTGTAATTGACAAGACAAAACAAATGGAATTATGAGATATGGAGCGGCAGTGGCTAGAAGGCCGGTGACGACGAACGCCGAAGCCTGCCCAAACAAGGAGAGGAGGCAGCTTTGGAGGAAGTCGTGACAGATGGAATGGAATGATCAGAGACACACCACATATTGTGCAATTCATCAGATCCATTTGTTCATGGTCCTTGACAAATGAAAACAAACTGATTCCAGGAAACTAGGGAGTTGTCTCTGGTGTGTTCGCTCTAGCGACGCGTCCTTTTACAGAGTGACAGTTTTCATTTTGTGCTTCATGTCACTCCACACAGTGGCACACATGATGATCATTAGCTATACGTTCCAGTAGGCCTACATGATGATCATTAGCTATACGTTCCAGTAGGCCTACATGATGATCATTAGCTATACGTTCCAGTAGATCTATATGATGATCATTAGCTATACGTTCCAGTAGGCCTAAATGATGATCATTAGCTATACGTTCCAGTAGGCCTAAATGATGATCATTAGCTATACGTTCCAGTAGGTCTACATGATGATCATTAGCTATACGTTCCAGTAGGCCTAAATGATGATCATTAGCTATACATTCCAGTAGGTCTACGTGATGGTCATTAGCTATACGTTCCAGTAGGTCTACGTGATGATCATTAGCTATACGTTCCAGTAGGCCTACATGATGATCATTAGCTATACGTTCCAGTAGGTCTACATGATGATCATTAGCTATACGTTCCAGTAGGTCCACATGATGATCATTAGCTATACGTTCCAGTAGGTCCACATGATGATCATTAGCTATACGTTCCAGTAGGCCTACATGATGATCATTAGCTATACGTTCCAGTAGGCCTACATGATGATCATTAGCTATACGTTCCAGTAGGCCTAAATGATGATCATTAGCTATACGTTCCAGTAGGTCCACATGATGATCATTAGCTATACGTTCCAGTAGGCCTACATGATGATCATTAGCTATACGTTCCAGTAGGCCTACATGATGGTCATTAGCTATACGTTCCAGTAGGTCTACGTGATGATCATTAGCTATACGTTCCAGTAGGCCTACATGATGATCATTAGCTATACGTTCCAGTAGGTCTACATGATGATCATTAGCTATACGTTCCAGTAGGTCCACATGATGATCATTAGCTATACGTTCCAGTAGGTCCACATGATGATCATTAGCTATACGTTCCAGTAGGCCTACATGATGATCATTAGCTATACGTTCCAGTAGGCCTACATGATGATCATTAGCTATATGTTCCAGTAGGTCTACATGATGATCATTAGCTATGTGTTCCAGTAGGTCTACATGATGATCATTGGCTATACGTTCCAGTAGGCCTACATGATGATCATTGGCTATACGTTCCAGTAGGCCTACATGATGATCATTAGCTATACGTTCCAGTAGACCTACATGATGATCATTAGCTATATGTTCCAGTAGGTCTACATGATGATCATTGGCTATACGTTCCAGTAGGCCTACATGATGATCATTAGCTATACGTTCCAGTAGGTCTACATGATGATCATTAGCTATACGTTCCAGTAGGTCTACATGATGATCATTAGATATACGTTCCAGTAGGTCTACATGATGATCATTGGCTATACGTTCCAGTAGGTCGACATGATGATCATTAGCTATATGTTCCAGTAGGCCTACATGATGATCATTAGCTATACGTTCCAGTAGGCCTACATTGTTCTTTCCCTCCTCTTCCCCTCCCTTCCCTCCCTCGTTAACACTGATCTGAATGGAGTGGTGGGATGACTATCATATTATGGAAAACTTTCCTGGCCCCACAGTGTGTAGGCTACAGTAGATGGGTGTTACACATTGGTAGTGGATAAGGTGAGTCCTCCCTTCTTTGTGTGAAAGGGAAATGACTGAGGCCCTCAAGCATCATGTGTTCAAACTTTATCAATGGACAGTTGTACAGTACAATGGCTCTAACTGTGGTTGATTGACAGGACAGGTAGCAAGTAGTAAAAGAGTCTTACCAGGATCAGCTCGCCGTCATTGGTTATCTCCCGGGTCCAGGCGGTCTTAGGTCCCTCCCCTTTCTGCAGAGTCTGCTCACAGCTGATCTTACTGTCGGTCTCCCACTTTGGAAGACTCTGAGAGACAGAAAGACAGACAGACATGCGATATAGTTAGACAATAATCAGAGAGATCAAAGTCATGTTTTGGACAGATGGGTGGGTGGTGAATGGATGGATGATAGAGGAATAATTGGTGAGAGTGAGAGAAAAAGAGGGAGGTGACCTAGTGTGTATGCTATCGCATGGCCTCTGGGAGAGAGAGAAGGAGGAGAGGATAGGAGAAATAACTAGGAGGTGAGGATGTGTGATGTGCTCATCGCCAGTAGAGAGAGGCTCTGGGTGTTTGTGTGTTTACTCTGGAGACGGCCAAGCAGAGGCCATCAGAGGGAGAGTTTGATAGGGACGGACACATGGCAAGAATGAAAGACTAAAGGAGGGAGGGAGGGAGGGAAAGTAAGTTCAGACGGAACAGAAGTGGAGAATGGTGCAGTGAGATTGTCCCTAGGAGACTAAGGGAGGGGTTTCAGATGGTATCAGTGAAAATATGGGAAATGCCAAATTAAATAGAGTCTGTAGACCTTAAAGAGGTGTTAGAAGAAGAATAGATCAACCCAGTGGAAGCAGAGACCAAGCCAACACTGGATCATATCCCATAGTCCCTCTAGCACTCCACAGTCCACAGGTCTGGGTTTCCCCTAACAGATCAAACCTGGGGAGTTGTATCTTAGGGGTCAAACATGAGTCGAGGCTTTCATTAGGGACAGTGAATAGGCTGTGGGACAGAGATTCATGTGAGTACAGAGGGGTTGTGTGTGTGTGTGTGTGTGTGTCTGTGTGTGTGTGTGTGTGTGTGTGTGTGTGTGTGTGTGTGTGTGTGTGTGTGTGTGTGTGTGTGTGTGTGTGTATTCATACTCCTTGACTTATTCCACATTTTGGTATGTTACAGTCTGAATTCAATGGATTAAATATTATTTTTTTCTCACACAATACCCCATAATGACAAAGTGAAAACATGTTTTTGCAAATATATTGAACATTTACAGAAATATCTAATTTACATAAGTATTCACACCCCTGAGTCAATACATGTTAGAATCACCTGTGGCAGTGATTGCAGCTGTCAGTATTTCTGGGTAAGTCTCTAAAAGCATTGCACACCTGGATTATACAAATACACGCATTATTCTTTAAAAAGATTCTTCAAGCTCTGTCAAGTTGGTTGTTGATCATTGCTAGACAGCCATTTTTTAAAGTCTGGCCATAGATTTTCAAGATGATTTAAGTCAAAACTGTAACTAGGCTACTCAGGAGCATTCAATGTCGCCCTGGTGAGCAACTCCAGTGTATATTTGGCCTTGTGTTTTAGGTAATTGTCCTGCTGAAAGGTGAATTTGTCTCCAGTGTCTGTTGGAAAGCAGACCGAACCAGGTTTTCCTCTAGGATTTTGCCTGTGCTTAGCTCTATTCCGTTTCTTTTCATCCTAAAAAAACTCCTAGTCCTTTCCAATGACAAGCATACCCATAACATGATGCAGCCACCACCATGCTTGAAAATATGAAGAGTGGTATTCAGTGATGTGTTGTGTTGGATTTGCCCCAAACATACCGCTTTGTATATAAGACATAAAGTTTATTTCTTTGCCACATTTTTAACAGTTTTACTTTAGTGCCTTATTGAAAACAGGATTCATGTTTTGGTTAGTAAATGACATTACTCTGTCATTTATGTTAGTATTGTGGAGTAACTACAATGTTGTTGATCCATCCTCAGTTTTCGCCTATCATAGCCATTAAACTCTAACTGTTTTAAAGTCAACATTGGCCTCATGGTGAAATCCCTGAGCGGTTTCCTTCTTCTCCAGCAACTGAGTTAGGAAGGACGCCTGTATCCTTGTAGTGACTGGGTGTATTAATACACCATCCAAAGTGTAATTAATAACTTCACCATGCTCAAAGGGATATTTAATGTCTGCTTTTTTTTTAACCCATCTACCAATAGGTGCCCTTCTTTGCGAGGCATTGGAAAACCTCCCTGTTCTTTGTGGTTGAATCTGTGTTTGAAATTCACTGCTCGATTTAGGGATCTTACAGATAATTGCACACAGAGTGAGTCCAAGCAACTTATTATGTGACTTGTTGAGCACATTTTTACTCCTGAACTTATTTAGGCTTGCCATATCAAAGGGATTGAATACTTATTGACTCAATATATTTCAGATTTATTTTGTAAATAATTTGTAAAAATGTGTAAAAACATAATTCCACTTTGACACTATGGAGTATTGTGACACAAAGTAAAATTGTTATTAATTTTAAATTCAGGCTGTAACAACAAAATGTGGAAAAGGTCAAGGGGTGTGAAAGGCACTATGTGTGTGTGTGTATATGCTTGCATAAGTGTGTGTGTGTGCACGTGCGTGTGCGTGTACCGTGCAGGGGCGTCCGTCGACGGTGGCCTCGTTGAAAGACTCGCCCACGGTGAAGGTGACGTGGGTGGTTCTGACAGAGGTGAAGGTTCGTATGGACAGAGTCTCTCCCTCCTGGGTGATCTCCACTGACGGCTTGGAGGCTGCCGCCACCGCTATCTTACGCAGCATCACATTCACACCTTGAACGCACACACACACGCAAGCACACACACACACACACAGAGGAAAAAAACACAGTAATGATACACACAGAGAGACAGGCTACAAAGACACGCTCTGGCACCAACACATGGTCAGAGTAAATACATTTCCACGCACAAGCACAGACATTATTTGCATGGTGAGACTGTAGAAACAGGCACATACATTGGCATTCATTAAATCAACTCAATCAAATAAAATGTAATTGAGTGGTTTGCACCGCCGTTAAAAGTTCTGTAATATCGCCTTAAGGAGAGGGAAACCTGTTTTACTCAAATCTGTTAAACCACAAACCTGTGTGTGTGTGTGTGTGTGTGTGTGTGTGTGTGTGTGTGTGTGTGTGTGTGTGTGTGTGTGTGTGTGTGTGTGTGTGTGTGTGTGTGTGTGGACGTGTTTAACTATACTTGTCCCCACAAGAATAGTAAACCAATAAAAATTTGACCAACTGGGGACATTTTGTTGGTCCCCACAAGGTCAAATGCTATTTCTAGGGGGTTTAGGGTTAAGGTTAGAATTAGTGTTAGGGTTAGAATTAGGGTTAGGGTTAGGAGATAGGGTTAGTTTTAGGGTTAGGGTTAGGAGCTAGGGTTAGGGTTAGGTTTTTGGGTTGAGGTTAGGGTTAGGGTTAGGGTTAAGGTACCGGTTAGGTTTAGGGTTAGGGAAAATAGGATTTTGAATGAGACTGAATGTCCCCACAAGGTTAGCTGCGCAAGACTGTGTTGTGTGTGTGTATGTATGTGTGTGTGTGTAAGTGTGTGTGTGCGTGTGTGTGTGTGTGTGTGTGTGTGTGTGTGTGTGTGTGTGTGTGTGTGTGTGTGGGCGCATGCGTGTGTTTGTGTGTTTACGACAGCTGATCTTGTTGTCAGTAAGTATCAGTCTGATGAAATTGTGTTGCTGGTTGTAAGTTTGTTGATGTTAATGGAGTGTGTGTGTGTGTGTGTGTGTGTGTCTGTGTGTGTGTGTGTGCGTTTGTGGGCGTGTGCGCGTGTGTGCGTGCGTGCGTGCGTGCATGCATGTGTGTGCATTTGCACTTGTGTGTGTGTGTGAGGTCATATATGGTTAGGGAGAGAGTGTGTGCTATGCGATACTCTGTCCAACAATGAAGACATCACCAGAGCCACAGCCAGAGGAAACAGTGAGGTCATGTGACAAGCACGTTCAGTACATCTGTACTCCTCTGAGAGAGAGCATCTGCTCCTAAATCTAGTCTGGACATACACACACAACACACACCACACACACACACACCTGGCTCTAGAACCTTTACTGGATGCCACAGGGTGAGCTCAGAGCAGATTAAGCTCATGCACACCCACACACCAGTAGACACACACCCCCATCACACACACACCCCACACCCACACACCAGAAGACACACAATCACATGCACACACACACACACACCAGTAGACACACACTCACATGCACACCCACACACCAGTAGACACACACTCACATGCACACCCACACACACAGTCTCATATCCCAACTTAAACTCTTGCTCATCACAATGCTGCGTAGAGCAGTGGTATCTAACACCTGTCAGATAGACAGACAGAAGCCAACACACCCTGGACACCACAATGACCCAGAGGGTGTGTATTTATGCATGTGTGTGTCCGTGTGTGTGTTTCTTTTGCATATGTGTGTGCATGTGTGTGTGTGTGTGTGTGTGTGTGTGTGCGTGTGTGTGTGCGTGTGTGCGTGTGTGTGTGTGTGTGCGTGTGTGTGGAGGGACAGCAGGGCAGAGAGCAGAGCGAGGGGGAAGTTATTGGAGTCGCCCCGGGGGACAGAGTAATCTGTTACACCTTCCTGTCAGGAAACAGAAGGGACAGAGGGAGGGAGAGAGGGGTGGAAAGAGAGGGGAGTGAGAGGAGATAGAGGGAGGGAGAAAGAAGAGGGAGAGGGATAGAAAGACAGAGAGATAGAAAAAGACATCTGGATGAAATGAGGGAAAGAAGAAGAGGAGAGTAGGAAAGAAGAGAAATAGAAAGAAGTGAAAGGGGATAGAGCAGGGGATGGAGAGAGAAGAATGGGGGAAAGAGAACAGAGGGAGAGGGGGGTAGTAGTCTGTGTGTGTGTGTGTGTGTGTGTGTGTGTGTGTGTGTGTGTGTGTGTGTGTGTGTGTGTGTGTGTGTGTGTGTGTGTGTGTGTGTCTAGGCGTCGGTGTGTATGTCTGCGCGGCGAGTTGGATTTCACACTTCTCACCTCACACACATTCCCACCTGTCACTGAGGGTAAATATATACACACTCAGAATCGCACAGTCATATACAGTATGCACCAACACACACACACACACACACACACACACACTGAAAAGAGATGTGCACTGTCACAAGCATTATGCATGAAGAGACTCATACATCACTTTGGCAGTTGACGTACGAACTTAAAATGATTCTGTAACAAACTACGCTAAAGTTCATTCTATTATGCTAGTTTGCAATGGTTTCAAAACATTGTTTATCGTGTGACCCTCTGAAACCTTTGTGAAATGTCATGAGTCGCCAAAATGTCTGCAGTGGCAATCAGCTGCAACCAACCACTGGGTCCTGAGCATTTGGGAGAGTCTGGGTCAAGACTTAGACAGGGGAGCTGGCTCTACAGAATACTATTGGCTGAATACCTAAGGAGCATAGCTGAAGTGATTCTGTGTGTTAGTCTTACACACTAGTTTGAAGTGTAGGAGTGTGTGGCCTAATTCTGACTGTGGCCTTACAAGATGACCACACACACACACACTACTCACACACCCACACCCCGCACACACTCCCACAGACGGTCAGGGTTAGAGGTCAAAGAGCAGAGGGCATAGGAAGCATTTGGGACGGGGTAGACGAAGGAGGAGGGGGGAAGGAGGAGAGGAAGGAGGGATGAGGGAGGAGTGGTGACAGGTTGCGTCCAGCTGCGCTATAGCCTCTAATGAAACCCAAAGGATCATGGGATCATTCCTCTCTGTCAGTCACGCCAATACAGAGGCACATTAGAGAACTACCGTGTGTGTGTGTGTGTGTTTTAACATCCCAGTGTGTGCAGATAGAGTTGCCTCTGTTCTCTCAAGAGAGTCTGGCCAAATATTTCTGCTCCTCACTATGCCAGTATGTCTGTGTGCATGTCTGCGTCTGTGAATGTCCTGCCTGTGAGTGTCTGTGTCTGTGTCTGTGTGTGTGTGTGTGCGTGTGTGTGTGTGTGTATGTGTTAAGGTAAGGCCAGGTAAAGCATCAGACCCAGTCAGTCTGTCCTCTCCTCCTCTCTGTCTGTCTGAGTTACTTTCCTCACATACAGTACCCCCCCCCCCCCACACACACACACACACACACACACACACACACACACCATCTCCCTGGCCTGTCTCTCTCTCTCTCTCTTTTTTTCTTCTTTTGTTTTGTCCTTTTTCCTCTTTCTATCCTCTGGCCCCCACCTCCCCCCCTTATTTTTCTCTCAGCACGCTACCCCTCACACACACACCCCTCGCGTGGGTAATGAGGGGTAAAGAAGGAGAGCAGATTTATGCTAATTGGTGCGTCAAACCGGGAAATTGGAATGCGCGCGCCCGGCCGGTGATGAGCCACTGACTCCGGTTATTCCGGCAGGAACAATGGTGGCATTTAGAACTTAGTTCATTACACAGACACACATTGCACTTTTGCGCACGAACACAGGCGTCTCTCTTTCGCTCCCTCCCATATGTGTTTATGTGTTGATCTACATGTATTCCTGGTATGCCCTTGTGTTTGGAATAAAAATACGAAAATTGGCAACCACTGACAGACACACACACACCCTGCCAGATAAATGAACAGGCGTTGTCTTTTTATTCCATGCAAACTGCTGCAGGTGTGGAGAGAGGCCTATGAGCTTGAGAATTAAATGAGAGTGAAACTCAGCTCTTAAAGTTTCTGGCATGTGGTCTGATAATATTCCAAACGGCCTGCACTGTGTCACGTCATAACGAACTCTTTCTTCTCTTTGAAGCGTCTGTCTCTTCCGATCCCACACACACACTAGCACGCTGTGATGTTATTTTTCTCCGCGCGGTGACACGGACAGATGTGCCGCCGTTTGTCTCTATTGTCTGGTGGAGTGGGTGGTGGGGGAGGGGGAGGCTGGCTGGGGGAGTGGGGCAGTGAGGTGAGGGGGGAGAGAAGCGTGAAGCTAGCTGGGGGGGGCAAGCATTGAGTTTTGGTTCGTCAGAATGACAAAGACCCCCCACTCACACGACGCACAGAGTGCACCACATGTCTGATTAATAAATGCATGCATGAACCATGGTGTGTGTGTGAGAGAGAGAGAGAGAGAGAGAGAGAGAGAGAGAGAGAGAGAGAGAGAGAGAGAGAGAGACGTATCTGACCTACAATGTATTAGTGTATTCAATCAGTAATAATTAAATAACTGCTATAATAATAGGCTATAATAAAGTTAGTGATATATGTACCACAAATATTTACCACCATACCCTTCATCATCCCCACCACCATCTCACTCACCCAGCGCTTTGAGAAGCTCCTCGAAGTTCTCCGAGCTCTTCATCTTCCAGGTACCAGCGAAGTCAGGGATTTTGCGCTCCATGGTTCAGAGTACAGGTTGGCTGGATAGATCAACTTGACTTCTTCTTGTTCAAAACGGACTGTTTATTTTACTCTCCAACTCTGCCCTCTTTTTAATCAGTGCGGGGTCTCGAGGTGGTCGGTGGTCCTCTCTCCCTAACCGGTTAAGAGGTAATCTGGATTGGATTTAGACTTTCCGGTCCCGTTAGTTTTGCCCCCTCCAGCAGGTTGTGACCGTGTATCTCTCAACTGTTTGACTGAGGTGGCTGTCAGTCCTCTAATCCAACCCTCTCTCTCTCTCTGTCTCTGTCGGTCTCTCTCTGATCCTTATCTCGCCTATGCGTCAGTGCACGTTATGAGCGGTTGCGCGATGAATGGATGGAATGGAAAACTAGCCACTTCCTTTGACCGCTGAGAACATGCCCACTTTCACACTTTAGACACGCCCAACCCACGTCTGTCATGTCCAGGAGCAAACGGGAACCGCCTATGGTTCCTAAGCCCCGCCACGACCACGCCTGGAGAGAACATGTGCGTTCTAGGACTGCCCAGCTGAGCCACCTGCCACGCCTCTTTATCCCCGCGCACATTTAATGTGCCAGTGGAGTGACCGCGCCCTAGACGCACGCGCACAAGGGCAAAATCTCATGGATACATTATTTTATGAGGTGCAATATATTATTTCATTTGTGGTGTTTGTCAGACATGTGGTTCGTGGTTGAAGCCATTGTGTTGGAGTTGAAACCGGAAAAACTGTTCTGAGTGCCAGTTTCGGATTTAGCCAATTTATCCTTGGCATGGATGCAGTGTTCTTGAATATAGAGGCAGTCAGGCAACAGTCCGTGGGTTGATGTAAGGGAGATAGAGAAATACTTGGTGGTTAAATTCTTGGCGATGATCGAGGGCCAGGGATTGGGTGGAATGTTGAGAATATTTTCCCCAAGTTCACCTCACCCTCCCTTCTCCATTCTTCCTCACTCCCTCTCTTTTCTCTACCCTCTTCCCCCAGCGCCGCGGCGGTGTGAGCGGTGGTAACGGGATACAGCCCCCGGCCTCGACCAGCGGGCTATCCATTTAACCGGACTGCGTCAATAAATTTGACTCCGCGTGCAGAAACATACTGAACTCATGAGAGAGCAAGAGAGAGAGAGATGAGCGGTGTTTCATATGTTTCCCATGCCAATAAAGCCCTTTGAATTGAATTGAGAGACACAAACAGACACAAACAGACTTACACAAACAGACCCCACAGAGCCCCAGGACAGCAACACAATTAGACCAAACCAAATCATGAGAAAACGAAAATATAATTACTTGACACATTGGAAAGAATTAACAAACAAACAGAGCAAACTTTTTGGGGGGGGCAATTTGGCCCTAAACAGAGAGTACACAGTGGCAGAATACCTGACCACTGTGACTGACCCAAACTTAAGGAAATCTTTGACTATGTACAGACTCAGTGAGCATAGCCTTGCTATTGAGAAAGGCCATGGTAGGCAGACCTGGCTCTCAAGAGAAGACAGGCTATGTGCACACTGCCCACAAAATGAGGTGGAAAGTGAACTGCACTTCCTAACCTCCTGCCAAATGTATGAACATGTTAGAGACACATATTTCTCTCAGATTACACAGACCCACAAAGAATTCAAAAACAAACCCAATTTTGATAAACTCCCATATCTGTTGGGTAAAATACCACAGAGTGCCATCACAGCAGCAAGATTTGTGACCAGTTGCCACAAGAAAAGGGCAACCAGTGAAGAACAAACACCATTGTAAATACAACCCATATATACAACCCATTTATGTTTATTTATTTTCAGTTTTGTACTATTTGCACATCCTTACAACACTGTATATAGACATAATATGAATTTGAAATGTCTCTATTCCTTTGGAACTTTCGTGAGTGTAACGTTTACTGTTCATTCAAATTGTTTATTTCACTTTTGTTTATTATAAATTTAACTTGCTTTGTCAATGTAAACATATGTTTCCCCATGCCAATAAAGCCCTTTGAATTGAGAGAGAGAGAGGTGGAGAGAAGGGCAGGGGAGCGGTAGCCTCTCAGTGCCTTTGGTCTAACCCCCCGCTGTTTGGACGGAAGAAAGGGGTGAGAGGGAGGAGAAGAGTGAGGGAGGGGGATATTTGGCACAGAGCTCCGGGCGGGGCTCGGGCTGGGTCGGGGGGTCCTGATAAAGACACTGTATGATGGATGACTGCAGGACAAAGGGGACGTTAACTATTGCCTCTTGATGGATGATCCCATCCACTGCACTGCACGCTGGATTAGCGCGAGGGTAACCGGGGTAACCGACACTCCCCGGTACCACGCACGCACTTAGAGCCCCACAGACACCACCTCACACATGTCCACATCCGTCTGATATAGACACTTTGGCTAAACGCACAGGGAATACTTTACCATCGCTGCCGAGTTGTAATCTAACCTGCAAGTTTACATTTATATAACTATATGGTAATGTAATACACATTCTACGCAGAGGCGGTGCGTCCAAGGAACGCAACCCAACGCCTCGAATAGAGAGTTGTTTTGTTTGAAGTGAACAAAGCGCGCTGCTTGTGTTTCAGCTATTGGCAATGATGGCTGGAGATGAGTGATATTGGACTCACTACTCCGCCACATTTATCATCCGCCGCCTCGACACACGCACGCACACGCACGCACGCACACACACACGCGCACACTGCAGCATGTCCACACAAGTTCCTCCTCTTGTCCAACAACATACACGAGTCATTAGCCACTCATATCAGTTCTCTAATCTCTCCATACATCTACCTCTTCATTTTTCCTCTCTTCTTCTCTCTTTCTCCGTGTCACTCACAACTCTTTCAGGTCGTGCTCGTTGCGGTGCGCTGCACATATTAACTGTTTGGGTAACAGAAATTATCCGTGATTAAAACAGAAAACCACATTATTATCAAGATTAAGTTTATAATAATTTGCAAGCATGGTGGTAGCATTTTGTCTCAAGAAGAATACTTGCAATAATTTTACTGCAGAGCCTTGTTGCAGGCATTATTCTTGGTGGTCATATGAATTCAGGCCACAACATTGTCATGGTCATATATAATAAGCTGTGAGGAATGCTGCTGGTATTGTGCTGTATATTTCTGCAGATCATTTGGCCAGTGTGATATTATCCTAAGTGACCTAGTTAGCCTACAGCATTGATGAATCAAACCCACAACCCCCGCAGTTTAACCAACACATGTTCAAAGTGTTGGAACTAAGTTGCCTGCAATAGGTTGGCACAGATAGGATCAGCTAGGATCAGCTAAGATCAGCTATTCATCTTACATACCCCAATCCTAACCTTTGGAAATAGGGGGGTGTGGGCAGGGGGGACAGGGACAAAACTGATCTTAGATCAGTGTGTAGGGCAACGTTATCCCAGCAGTGGAATGAGGGGTTGATAAAGCCTTGTGAATGTGTGTGTGATGTCGCACTTCAGCACTTGCTGACAAAGCAGCACTCAGCATTCATCTGCACTCAACCATGCACTCCTCCTCTCAACCTTTCTCTCATTCTTTCTCCTTCTCTCCCCCCTCTGCTACTCCTTTACCTGACAAACTTTCTCTCTCCCCTTCTCCCCCTCCCTCCCTCCATCTCTCTCGCTTTTGTTCTTTTGTGCTGGTGTGACACATTCCTCAAGCATTTAGAGAAGAGAGAGGGAGAGGGGAAGGCAGAAGAGGAGAGGAGAAGGGGAGTGAAAGAGAGAAGAGAGAGAGAGTCATGGACCAGAGAGCAGGTCATTTGTTAGCTCATTGTTCACCTGTAGAAAAGTGAAGGAGGTTGAGTCAGCAGAGAGAGAAATAATTAGAGATCAAAGGCAAACAGAGAGTAACAGAGATGGAGAGAAAGAGAGACATATGGGGGGAAGATGACAGAGATGGAGAGGTACTAGAGAGGAATAAAGAGAGACTGGTAAACAGAAGGATGGCGACAGATGTAAAAGGAGACTCCTCTGATTCTTCTGAGGCGTATGGAAATAGTTGCGCCTAATGGTCAAAATGAGCGAATTCGCGTACGCTAGCGCTCGGATAATAGAGCTAGCGAGACGGAGAGATAGCGAGACTCAGATAGGATATAGGAGCGCGAGAAGATATAGAGAGTAGTAGATAGATCGAGATAAGAGAGCGAGAACAGAAGAGCGATAGATAGTATCTCTCTCTTATCTCTCTCAGAAATAGAGCTCCTCTCGATCTCTCTAGAGTCTCGCTTCTCTCGCTATCGATCTTCTCTGCTCTCTCTCTCTTCTCTCTATCGCTCTCTCTCTCTCTCTCTCTTCTCTCTCTCTCTGTTCTCGCTCTCTCCATCCCTCCCTCTCTGTCCCTTCACAGCGTTCTCTCCTTTCTTCTCACTCCTCTTCATCTTGCCAAGAACAGTATTGGTAAGTGATATCTCCAGTCTGTAAACTCATACAACCCCAAGCTGAACCACCCAGACACACACACCTAACATTCACTAACATTTATGCCATAACAATCAGTACCTTTACCTGTTCAGAACGACTTTGCCAATGAGGCCTTATAACTTTAGGGCCAAGAGTTTTTCCAGGTCAGGTTACATAGTGAGGAACCACTCAGGGCCCTATAGGTACAACCAACTGACTGATATTTCTCAGTCTTGACCCCACCATCTCTGTTTCTCTCCTCCCTACCTCCCTCTCTCCTTGCACCCTCTCTCATCACCTCCTCTTTTTATTGGGACCCTTTTCTCCCCTCTTTCTCATTATAACTCATAATCCCTCTCTTATCCTTACTGTTTTCCTTCCCTCCCTCCCTCTCTCCTCCTGTCTCCTTCTCTCATTCAAATCAGGTTCAGTCTTGTGTCAACACTCTCCCCCAGTACTCTAACGGATTACCATCCCCTATCTCCACTGTGACTTCCTCTTCTCCCTCATATCACTTCCTGGTTCCCCCTCAGTCAAATGACACAGGGTTCCACTCCACTCTAATAGAATGGTTAGAATGGACTTGGCTCATACTGACTTCTATTTACATTCCAGCAGAGAATGATGTATATGCGGAGTAGACAGTCATTAGGGTCATATAGACATATGGTTCTGGATAGTCTCTTTATCAGTTCTATGGTGGTTCTGAAACTCTCAATTACTCACAGCCTCCCAAGCTCCCTGAATGAATGAATGGTACATTTGTGTCAGGCTCTGTATGTGTGTCTGTGACCATATGTGTGTACTGCCAGTCTGCAGTAAAGTCACACGTCTGTGGCATTCCCCACTTTATCATCCAGATGAACCCCAGTAAAACCAGTCACCCCGTTAACCCCA